TAAAAAAAAAAAAAGATATAGCAGGTGCACACCTGCAATCTCAGCTGCTCGAGACACTGGGACAGGAAGATTTCAAGTTTGAACCCAGCCTGGGCAGTTTAGAGACTTAGCAAGACCCTGTCTCAAAATAAAAAATAAAAACAGACTCAGAATATAGAAATAAAAACAAAAAGGGCAGAGGTTGTAGCTCAGTGGCAGAGCACTTGCCTTGCCTGTGTAAGACCCCATGTTCAATCCCCAGTACTGCAAAAAGAAAAAGAAATTGAGTCTGGTGTTGTGTGGAAGGTAAACTGTGGGAGAGGGAGGCTGGGAGGCCTACAGCAGGCCTGACGGAGTGGTCTGCTAGTGAGGCAAAGGGGCATGGCCAGGGAAGGCCAAGGAAGGGCTTGCCCACTGATTGCTCCATGCACAGCAGAGGGACACAAAGGATGAAGCAAAACCCTAGACCTGGCCTCTGCTCTTAGATCTAAAGCCTCAACTGCCTGGGCCTCTTGGCCCAGAGGTGCGTGAAGGCTGAGGCCCAGCACAGGTTCTTTAGCCAATGTCTCGAACCTCTCAGGCGGGAAGGCCCAATTTCTTGATTGCATAGATGGGTAAACTGAATCCTGGAGAAAGTGCATCACACAGTCTGTTACTAGCAGAGGTAGGATTAGAACCCAGAGCTCCACAGTCTCAGTCCTCCATATCTCTGCAGCTTTCTGGATATTCTCTACCTGCAAGGTGCCCAGCTCCCCACCTCCCTCCAGCCCATGCTCGTGGGAGGCTCCCCACTGCCCTGAGGAAAGCTGCAAGCTGGAGGGTTGGATGACCGACCACCTGGCTTCTCACGCTGCAGCACGTGACATGAGTGGCCTCCCCCAAAGACCAGCCAGCAACAGAGGCCAGCCCTGGGGACACCGGTGGCCCTTGAGGATTCACCTCTGCCCTATGCCGCCTTATCACTAAGCAGCCTTAGAGGAAAGTAGGGAACCTAAGACCTATGGCCATTATCTCATTTGTCCTCTTTGTATCCTCATTCTGAGGACCTGAGTCCTGCCACTACAGAAAAGGGTCAGATCCCAAGAAAGTGTCACAGGTTGCAGCAGAGGGCCCTCCACCACCCCGGTTCCTCTTCTCAGACTGGCAAGGGCCCAAAGCCTCTTGGTTATCGATTGAGGAGATAAGAATAGCTCTGGGATGGACTGGAACAGCTGCTGTGGGGACTGAAATGACCGAGTGAGGCCCTCCGTCCAGGACAGAGGTGCTGAGGAAAAAGGGAAGAGGGAGAAAGAGATTCAGGAGGGACCTAGAGAGCGGGGCATGGTGGGGCACATTTGTAATCCCAGAACTCTGGGAGGCTGAGGCAGGAGGACTGCACCTTCTAAGCAAGCCTGGAACATGGCAACACAGAAAGGTCCTTTGGGGTGGGGGGAGTAAAAAAAATCCAAGGCTGGGCAAGGTGGTACATGTCTATAATGCCAGCACTCAGGAGGCTGAGGCAGGAGGATCATTGTGAGTTCTGGAGACCAGCCTGGGCTACAAAGTGAGCTCAAGGCCAGCCTGAACTGCATAGTGAGACCCTATCTCAAAAAGACCAAAAAAAAAAAAAAAAAAAAAGGCTAGGAAGGGGATAAGACAGGTGGGGAGGACAGGCTGCTGGAAAGCCAACAGACCATGGCTCAGGACTGAGAATAAAGGGGCTTGGGAAGTGGTAGGTGTGTTCTGGGTTGGCTCGGCAGCCTGGATGATGCCAAGATCTGTCCCCACCTCCAGTCCCATGCATTGTGCACTAACTTAACCCTGGACCGAGCCTTCTGTTTATTTTCTCTTATTTCATCCTGGCAATAGCCGTTTATGTGGGTGGGTGTGCACGTGCATACACATGCGTGTACTATTTTGCCTCCATTTTCTAGACCAAGGCTCAGGTAGATGCTGTTACTGGTCCAGGGTCACAGTGTATCTGACATCACAGCATATTCATCTAAGCCATGAAGAGTCTGGCCAGAAGGTGGGGTCCCGGCTAGAATTCTCCCTCTCCTCTTCCTGGTCCTGTGAGTAAGGGCTAAAGAGAAAACAGCCCACAGGGAGTCAATGGCAGAGCTAAGATCTTTCAGGCTAAGTCCCTGGACCTAGTCCAGGGTCCCCTGGGTCATATCAAAAGGCCTGGAGGAGGGGCCACTGTGGCCCCGGGGAGCTCAAGGGGTGGAGGCACAGGGCCCCCTGGGAAGAGGTGCAGGCTGGGGTCACAGCATCAGCTGGGGAGCCAGGCTTCCTGTCTCCTGGCAACAAGTGGTCTCCCCAGAGGAGGCACCTCTTCGAAGAGCCCCAGGAAGGCAGTGAAGAGGAGCAGGCCTAGGGGCCACAGGCCATCTCTGTAGGTGCTGCTGGGTGGTGAGTGGCCCCACTGACTACTGACTTCCTGGCCCCCTGGTTCACACCTTCTCTCCTTGAGCCTGAGGCTGCATCCCTGGAGGTCCATACAGGTGCTCCTGAGCAGGCCACGGTGGCTTCTGGCTCTCTTTGGCTCACCCAAGCAGGGCTTGGGGGCAGGCCAAGTACAAGCTGTCCCTCTGAGCCACACTTCACCTCTTCCCAGTTCTTGAGCTGTGGTGCAGTTGCGGGACTGCAGATATAAAAATGACCAAGCTCATCTGAGCATGGTGGTGGCACATACCTGTAATCCCAACACTTGGGAGGCTGAGATAGGAGGATCAATCAGGAATCCAAGGCCAGCCTGGTCTACATAGTGAGTTTAAGACCAGCCTGAATTACATAGTGAGACTCTATTGTAGAAGGAGGAGGAGGAGGAGGAG